CCACCTCCCAGAGTGGCTGTTTTCTCCAGGGGAACTGATCTCTGACCCTTGGAGATCAGCTGTAATCCCAGGAGATCTCCAACTACCACCTGGAGGTCGGCAACCCTAGGTGGGGGGTCTCCAGCATCCATATACACCCTGACTCCATCCCACTCAGAGCCAGTTTGGTGTCGTGGTTGAGTGCGCGGACTCTAATCTGGGAGAACCGGGTTAGATTCCCCACTCCTCCACTTGCACCTGCTGGTGTGACCTTGGGCAAGCCATAGATCTGATAAGAGCTGTCCTTGAAAAAGAGCAGTTTCTGTCAGAGCTCTCTCAGCCCCACCTGCCTCACAGGGTGTCTGTTGTGGGGAGGGGGAGGGAAAGGAGTTTGTGAGTCGCTCTGGGACTCCTTTGGGTAGTGAAGGGCGGGGGATAAATCCAATCTCTTCTTCTTCTTTTACCTCACAGGGTGTCTGTTGTGGGGAGGGGAAGGGAAAGGAGCTTGTAAGCCACTCTGAGACACCTTTGGGTAGCAAAGGGCGGGGTATAAATCCAATCTCCTCTTCTTCTTTTACCTCACAGGGTGTCTTTTGTGGGGAGGGGAAGGGGAAGGAGTTTGTGAGCCGCTCTGAGACTCCTTTGGGTAGTGAAGGGCAGGGTATAAATCCAATCTCTTCTTCTTCTTCTTTTACCTCACAGGGTGTCTGTTGTGGGGAGGGGAAGGGAAAGGAGCTTGTAAGCCACTCTGAGACACCTTTGGGTAGCAAAGGGCGGGGTATAAATCCAATCTCCTCTTCTTCTTTTACCTCACAGGGTGTCTTTTGTGGGGCGGGGAAGGGGAAGGAGTTTGTGAGCCGCTCTGAGACTCCTTTGGGTAGTGAAGGGCGGGGTATAAATCCAATCTCTGCTGCTTCTTCTTCTTCTTGTGTAGACACCCCACTTTACAATGCACAGGGAGTGATTATTACATCCTCCAGCCTCGAAACAGGTGGGGGGGGGGTTGTTTTCTTTCTTCAAACCGTCAAGACAATACCCTTTGTGTTCTTATCCCTGGGAAATCTTGCGGATTTGTCTGCCACTCCTCTTAACTCAGAAAAAAGCCCACGCTTCATTTGTTCTTCACAGGAATTTCACGAGCCCTTGAGTTTCACCCTCCCTTCCCCCACGTTCCATTCTCGTTTTCCTAATCACTGTCTTTGGGCGATATTATCTGCCACCGAATGCTCCCTGCATTTTTTGAGACAAACAATCACTCCAGTGTGCGCTCTCTCTCGCTCTCTCTCTCCCCGATTCCATGGCTGTGACGGGGGGGAGGACAGTCCCTCCCTGAGAGCAGGCGTGAGGTTAATCCTGCCTCAGATAAAGCTCTGCCTACAATTTAAGGCCCACTTTCCCACATCTGAGGCAAGGTCAACCGAGGAGCTATTTTAGGAAAGAAGCGGGGCCGCGTCATAGTATAAGGAAAGGGGGGGGGATACTTTTGATGAGTAGGAGGAGGAGAAATTGAGGCTGCCCTCAGTGTGGGAAGAAAGGAGGAGGAGGAGATTGGATTTATACCCCGCCCTTCACTACCCGAAGAAGTCTCAGAGAGGCTTACGATCCCTTTCCTTTCCCCTCCTCTCAACAGACACCTTGTGAGGTAGGTGGGGCTGAGAGAGCTCTTGACAGAAACTGCTGGTGAGAGAACAGCTCTGAGAGAACGTGTGACTGACCCAAGGTCACCCAGCTGGCTGCATGTGGAGGAGTGGGGAATCAAACCCGGTTCTCCCAGATTAGTGTCCGCGCTCTTAACCACCACACCAGAGAGAGCCAGTTTGGTGTAGTGGTTAAGTGTGTGGACTCTAATCTGGGAGAACCGGGTTTGATTCCCCACTCCTCCACTTGCACCTGCTGATGTGACCTTGGGTCAGTCACAAGCTCTGGCACAGCTGTATCTGAAAGAGCCGTTTCTGTCAGAGTTCTCTCAGCCCCACCCACCTCACAGGGTGTCTGTTGTGAGGAGGGGAAGGGAAAGGAGTTTGTAAGCCGCTTTGAGACTCCAAGTGAAGGGCGGGGTATAAATCCAATCTCTTCCTCTTCCTCTTCTTCTTCTACACCAAACCGGCTCTCTGAAAGGAGGGTTGGGGGTGTCCAAGGAGGGGGAGCTGAGGACGGTGATAACGGAAGGGCAAAGGGCATCTTCTTCTCACTCCCTGCCTTTCTGTAATTTTTTTTTTTGCCATTTGAACAGTTAGTATAATGTTTTTGAACACCCAGAAGCAGAGCCTCTCAGTGTTCAAGAGAGGCCTGAGCCATTTCGATTTTCTCAGGCACCCAGTGCGTGGGGGGAGCAGGGACTCACGCCAGGGCCTGGCATGACTCCTGGCCTCGCTGCCAGCGCCTAAGAGGGATATTAATCCATAGTGTGCACTACAGCCGGTGTGGCCTGGTAACGGGACACAAGCCTGAAGTAGTAGGGTGAATGTCTTCTTCGTTCAGCCTTGTCGGCCTATCCCTGCAACTTTTTGTAAAACCTCATACGGAGAGAACATCCACGGTCTAAATCTGAGGCCCTCCAGGGAATGTGAGGCCCAGGCCAAATGGCACTCTCGGGCCTCCCCCTGCAGTAGACCCTACTCTGAAGCACTTCATGTAAACCCCTGACAGCAGCCTCCACCCACACACACACAGCTCGATCCAGCTTCCCTTGAGCATACAAACGGAGACGCTTCCCTCAAATTGTCCTGGCAGAGAGGAACCGAAGGCACAGCAATGAGGATAAAAGGATGGCAGCTGGTTCAGTGAAAATAAACCCAGTAAGGAACGATGCAGAGCCTTCAGACCGGAAAGATGTTTTTAAAAAGTAGTCCCATAAGATCTCTATTGGAACTTCCACATTCAGAGGCAGCCGACCTGTCAATACTAGTACCAGGAGGCCTAGGCCTTTGTGGCCCATTGTTGGACCTCCAGGACAGGGTTGCCGGACCCCCTGTTAGAGGCGGGGCCCCTCCCCAACCAGGCCCTGCCTTCCAGCTGCCAATCACCTGGCTGGTGGGGGAACTTACCAGGAAAAAGAGGAAGGTCCCGGTCACATTGCTGGCATTGCACAGGAAGTGACATCATCGTGCCAGCAACGTCCGGGCGACGTTCTGGTATTTGGGCAACAACTCTACGGCAGAAGCCATTTTTACCACAGACTTTTTGCCCAAATGCCAGAGTGTCACAGCAGCATGATAGTGTCACTTCCTGTGTGACACCGACGATGTGGCCTGGGCCTTCCTCTTTCTCCTGGTAAGTCCCCCCCCCATCCCCCGTCGGTTGCCAGGAGGGACCTAGCAACCCTACTCCAAGACAACTGGTTGGTCACTGTGTGAGACAGGATGCTGGAGTAGATGGACCACTGATCCAGTGGGGCTCTTCTTATATTCCTAAATCACTGGCAGATGTGAGTGGATGAGAGAGGCGACCATAGTTTGAAGAGGGACCTAAAGTATCAAGGTTAGGAAAAACAAAACAAAACAAAAACAGAATAGGCTATAAGAGAGATCACAAGAGTATCACTTTGAACTGAGTGACTGAGCAAGTGAATGGCAAAAAGGACGTCACACAAAGTAAAACGCTGATGAGATCGGAAACGCCACGCAAAAAATGCCGCTCCTCCTGCACTCTTCGTGTGACGTTTGTTGGTTTCTCAAAAACATCTGGTTGGGCACTGTAGAAAGTGGAATGGTGGAACAGATGGGTACCAAGGTCATAGTTTGCCTAGGGCACTAAAAAAAACGTTGTGCCAACCCTGGATGGGTTGCCGTACAAAGGAAATTTGGATGTGTGGGTCACCATCCGGAAAAGGTTGGGAACGGCTGTTGAGAGCACCAAAACTCCTGAAGATGTCCTGCAGCCTCCTGAATAGTGCTGATGGCCAGGAAAAGTTTCAAAGAGGTGGGCAAAAAATGAGCACACCGATTTTTTCGGTTCTGCGCCCAGAGCCGACGGTCTCCCCTGAACGACTTACCTGCTGCCGGCAGGTCCAGCTTCGCTCGTTTCAGTTCTGCCATGGAGCTCTGGAGCTGCTCGATGACAAAGTCGTCTTCAAAGAAGAAATCTTTGGCGAGAGCCTCCTGAAGAAATTCGACGAGTTCTTCCATTTCCAATTTCATCAGGTGTTCTAGAGTTGGGGGGAAAGAAACACAAGATCCGAGAGTGGAAACGGAACAGCTGAGACGACGGTAGAAATCGTTCGTTTTTCTATTATGGGAAAGTTACAAATGGAGATGTTTGAATACTGATCTGCGAGTAAAATGAACGTGTACAGTAATGGAACTCTGGGCTGCCCATAGAGAACAAGGTGATAACACTGTATGCGTGGCTGCGGCTGAAAAACGGAAGGCATGTGTACAACTTCCCCTCCTCCAGCAAAATGTTTAGAATTTGCTTTGCCTCCCGGTGTTATTAGGGTGACTGCTTCTCCACTTCCTGTTCTGCACCATTTGCCGCTGTTGCACGGCACACAGGAGACAATCAGCATGATAAAGCTCAGACTGGACAATACATGGCAGAGAAGCAAACTTATAAGCAGCACCAGCAGCTTCAATCACCAGAGATTTCTTTAAAAGGCAAGCTTCCCAGAGTCCCCTACATTTCAATAAGGAGATACATCCACGCCTCCTGGCAAACTCACTGTGGGTCCTTGGGGCTATCTCCAAGATCACTTTGCAACTTCCCACAGCTGACGCGACTTTATCCAGTAATAATGCTCTGGGCATGACCCTTCCTGCCAGTTTCCATGTTCTTGTTTGTTGGGAGGTGCACAGAGTCACCGAATTAAGGACTACCTTCTCCCTTATGAACCTACCCATCCACTCCAGTCATCTTTGAAGGCCCTGCTTTGGGTACCCCCCCCCCAGGGTTGCCAGGTCCTTCTGGTGGGGGGCTCCTGTCTTCTTCCTGGAGTCCTCTGGCACGTGTGCCACGGTGAAGTCACCCAAAAGTGATGTCATTGTGCAGGGGACACTCTAGCATTTGGGAGAAACTCTATGGTTTCCATAGAGTCTCCCCCCAAAAAATGCTAGATCGTCCCCTGTGTGATATGTCCTGTATGATGACGTCAGGGCTGCTTGGGGCAGGGCTCCCCCGTCGACTAGCTGGGTGGCGGCAGATTGGGACCTCCGAAAGTGGGGAAACCCCACTCCCATCGGAGGGATTGCAACCCTCGTGCCACCCCGCCATCTGAGGCTAGTTGGGTGGCAAGCCAAGAAAGGGCCATCTAGGTCATTACACCAAAACTTTGGAACTATCTCCTCAGAGAGATCTGTCTGTGTTCTCCTATTACCATCTTCCACCAGCAGGTGAACATTTCCTTTTCATTTGGCGTGATGGTGGAAAGTTCCATCAAGTCGCAGAGGACTTATGGCAACCCCGTAGGGTTTTCAAGGCAAGGGACATTCAGAGGGGGTTTGCCATTGCCTGCCTCTACGTTGCAACCCTAGCCTTCCTTGGTGGTCTCCCACCCAAGTACTAATCAAAGCTGACCCTGCTTAGCTTCTGAGAATTGACGAGCTCAAGCTATCCAGGTCAGGTTCATTTGACGTATTCCCAGAGAGAGCCAGTTTGGCGTAGTGGTTAAGTGCGCGGACTCTAATCTGGGAGAACCGGGTTTGATTCCCCACTCCTCCACTTGCACCTGGCTGGATGACCTTGGGCAAGCCGTAGTTCTGATAAGAGCTGCTCTTGAAAAAGAGCCGTTTCTGTCAAGAGCTCTCTCAGCCCCACCTACCTCACAGGGTGTCTGTTGTGGGGAGGGGAAGGGAGAGGAGTTTGTAAACCGCTCTGAGACACCTATGGGTAGTGGGCGGGGTATAAATCCAATCTCCTCTTCTTCTTCTTCTTCTTCTTCTTCTTCTTCTTCTTCCCAATAAATTGATATAGTCCCTGATTGTGTTGTTCTGTGTATCTGTGTTTATATGTTTTAACTGAATTATTTTGTATATACTTTAAGTGTTGTTCCAGTGTTGACATCTCTTACTGTGTGGTCACTGTATCTCAAAAGGGACACTGCAGAGCTGGAAAAAGTACAGAGGAGGGCAACCAAGATGATTAGGGGGTTGGAGCACCTTCCCTAGGAGGAAAGGCTGAAGAGTCTGGGACTTTTCGGTTTAGAAAAGAGACGACTGGGGGGCGGGGGGAGAAACATGATAGAGGTTTATAAAATGATGCACGGGGTAGACACAGTTGACAAACAGAAATTTTTCTCCCTCTCCCAAAGCACTAAAACTCGAGGGCACCCAATGAAACTAATGGGCAGTAGGTTC